ACGCAGGAGGTACCTCAGCTGTCTCGTATCTGGCAACACATGACAGTTCAGGAAGTCAGACGAGCTCAACTTTATCCAGCCATGAAGAGTCCAGAGCCTCATCAAGGAACGTCTTTTCTTCACGAGCTCTCAGTCCGTCCAGCTGGAGCGATTATATTCTCAAGTATCTCCTGGTCACGAGCAACCTGCTCTTCACTGTTCTTGGTCTGGTCACACTAGTCGTCGGCCTCTGGGGCCTGATCAACAAAGAGTCCTTCGCTCAGGAGAAGATCAACGGTATCGGGACAGACCCCATGCTGCTCTTCACATTCCTGGGTTTCATTCTCGCCCTGCTGAGCCTGATGGGGTGCGTGGGGGCACTGCGGGAGAACATGTGTCTTCTTCGGACCTTCTCGGCCATTGTCCTTGTCCTGGTGGTGGCTCAGGTTCTGGCAGTGGTCGTGTTGTACAGCCTGCAAAGGCAGATCGAGGATTACTTGCGTTCGGGCATGTTGGCCGCCATGGTGCGGTACCAGGATGACCTGGACCTGAGGTTCATCACTAATGAGATCCAGACGGGCCTGCAGTGCTGCGGGGCCGATACCTACAGAGACTGGGGAATCAATGTGTGAGTGGAAATCGAGAGAGGGGCTGACATCATGAGTAACTTCATGGGTTTCCAACACTGAAGTAGTCCAAAGTTAAATACATGGATTATACAACCTAATTTGTAATGTAGAGTCTCTCCAGTATTTAATGCTTTCCAGTGGGATCTGGACTCATAGTTTGGCCTGCTTGTTGTTTTTGATCCTATTCAGTATAATTCAGTATAATTGTCCCTTTTGTGCTTTCCAATATATTTCATTTTGTTACACCATTTTGCAATCCCAATTACAATTACTCATTATAGACAAATAATGACTCTATTCGACTGAGTTTAAAGGTGAAGTGTGTCATTTTTTCTATTTTAGCACACTTTCTCCTGTCACATCTTAACACAGGGTTTCCCTAACTAATTGGAGGTTCTTGAAGGAACTGTGGGTGTTTGATGAAAAGTAATTAATTAAATCATAAAAATGTAAAATCAAAATAAAATAAAAAAATACATCTGAAATAAAAATAATAAATATAAACCACTTAAAATTTCTATATTTTATTTGTTCACCTGAATGGTCGGGCATCGGGAAGCTGTGAACATGCAAATGTGTTGTTAAATTATTGCATTATTAACTTCTATTATCAAAATCTCTTAAATCTCTTGTTTAAAAATCTCTTAACCTCTGTTATTAAAATCTCAGTAGGTAATTCAAGTAAATATTTTAGGTCATGTTTGAGCAACATAGCATCTTCTGGTTCAACTGATGATGTGAGTTTAGGGTAAAATTATCTTTAATACACTATTTAGCATCAAATTGTGTGAAATTGGCACTGAGAGCAGCAAGAGTGTTTGATAAAACTATTTGGAATTAATAATAATAATAATATTTTCTGCAGTGGTTATTATTATTATTATTATTATTATTATTATTACCAATTAATAATAATAATAATAACTATTATTATTATTATTATTATTATTATTACCAATTAATAATAATAATAATAATAATAACTATTATTATTATTATTATTATTATTACACTAATGGTTATATATTTTACAAATTATGAAAAATATTCATATTATTGATAATTTATTTTATTGTTATTATAAATACTAATATTATTAATAATAACAATAACAATAATTGTTATTATTATTATTATTATTATTGTTGTTGTTGTTGTTGTTGTTATTCTTAATGAAATTACCAATAGCATGGGTATTTATCATAATTATTATTAAATTATTATATTAGCAGTAAGTACTATTATCACTATTATTATCATCAAAACAAAGGGTTCGGCTGACTGATACGTTTGGGAATCCCTGTCTTAATACATAGGTTGAGCAAGTATTAACGCTTTACACTTGTTGGATAACAAAAAAAAAACAAAAAACAAAAAAACAAACATGTAGAAACCACACAACAAACATGCTAAACACCAGTCAGAACACCTTAGCAACCAAGTAGCAATGTCTAAGCATGCACCCTAACACTATCAGTTATGCACTACCCACAAATTCCTTCGGAAAATATAAAAATGTACTTATTTTTGCAATAATGTTTAATGTTTTGCAATAATAAATCACACACTTGAACTACCCTGAACTATAAAGGATCACGCCATATGTTGCAAACGCATCTGATTGTGTCTCACTTGTATACATTTCTCTGGCACAGGTATTTCAACTGTTCGGCTCCAGGGGTCCAGGCGTGCGGAGTGCCCCCCTCATGCTGCATAGACCCCCTAGAGAACGGGACGGTGTGGAACAGCCAGTGTGGAGTGGGCGCCCAAAAGCTGGACGAGTTCTCGGCTCAGAGTGTGATCTTCCTGGGCGGCTGTATGGGCAGCATCTCCCGCTGGATTGAGCAGCACAGTGGAGTGATTATTACAGTAGTCATTATTCTGCTGGGGGTCCAGATACTCACTCTGTTCATAACGGCCCGTCTGCTGCAGAAGATACGGTGGAGCAGAGCTCAGCATGCTGTCTACTTACAATCACTGCAATGAATGGATTCAGATGTTTTCAATAACAGGATATTGTGCCATTGGGATTATGAACCAGCCTGTATTTAATGAATTCATTGCATTTGACATCTGGAGATGTTAAGTTGTTTATTCTGGAGACAAACAGTCTAGGAATTTCATGATAGCATGTAAAAATTTTAAGGCATTACAATGATTTAATTGGTTTTCATTGTTTGTAAATGTTTTCATGAAATATCTATTCTTAGTGGGTTAATCTGGTCAAAAGTACAATACTCGCAAACCGCAATTTATAACGCAACACAAGGGGCGCAATAGTGAACATTATCAGGTCAACTTCCGTTATGTAGATGAAACCGTTTGCAACAAATCTATCTAGAAAAAGTCAACATATCAATAGTTAACGCTAAATGTAGGCCTAAGTGTGAAAGTAAAGTGAAGGTACTTGAAGAGTTTGTGTTTATTTTGTACAATACAAAACATTTAAAATGTGCTTAAGTGTGGTTTGATTTAATAAAATAATCTTAAATTTATGATTCTATAACCAAGGCTAACCGAAAGCTTGCTAGGTGCATGCAATGCTTGCGCTAGATCGCAACAGAGCTGATGCGCAAACATAAACAACACCGCTATTTCTTTAGTTACAAAGAAAGATGAGATACTGAAATACTAAGAATGAAAACCTGACATAAAATACTTCTGTTACATTCAAAAGTTAGTTCAGTCACATCGTCAAACATTATGTTATTCCGTCGGTAATGTTTATCGTAACTTACCTGAGCATCGACACATTCGGTTTAATAACGCAGACATTTGAATGTAACTCTTGAGGACTGAGTTTCATTACCAGCAAACTAATGCAAAAAAAGTGGTCAAGTGCTCTCGTCAGCGTTCACATATTTGCGTAAAGTGGAGTAACAATTTATGTTTTATATCCAAATATGCTGTTCACACAAAACGCGTTTCTGTACTCCACTGCGCGGCTTTGACTGTTGCGCTCGCGTCTCGTGTTTTTTTTATTTTTATTTTTTTATTATTATTTTGCAGTGTCTTGCACATGATACGGCAAAAACACATTCTGTGTGAATGGCCTCAATAACGAAATGTAACCCCCGCGGGTCCTACTCGCGTCCGCTCCGAGCGGGACTCGAACCTGGGTCGCCGGCATGGGAGACGGGCGCACTAACAAGGAGGCTAAAGACCACAACCTCTAGCGTCAGTAGCTAGTGCACCTCTTGAGATCAGGGGAGTGAGGTTTACCTGCACAGCACCTACTAGCTGGCCTCCTTTACACTCACCCCCTAAACCTCACTCCCATCCGGGTCACGGCACCAATGTAAACTCGCTGGGTCCTACTCGCACCCACTCCGAGCGGGACTCGAACCCGGGTCGCCAGTATGGGAGTCGGGTGCACTAACAGGGAGGCTAAAGACCACAGCCTCTAGCATCAGTCACTAGTGCACCACTTGAGATCAGGGGAATGAGGTTTACCTGCGCAGCTATTACCAGCTGGCCTCCGTTACAAAAACATTTAAGCAACTGTTAATGTATTGAATTGCAAAGGACACTTGGTTTGATGATATTTTATCTAATGCAATGGCCCTGGGATATTTTAAGAGTCACTTAAAACTGCAGTCCGTAAGTTTTGCCTCTTTGTCGCCATCTCTGTTTGAAAACCTGGAATTGCAGCTGTGTGCGGAATTATCTAGCTTGCGTGGGTTGTGAGTGGGCGCGGCTCCAGCGCGGATGAGTCTAATGTTCTGAAGAGTATGTGTGGTAGTCAGTCACCGTACCGGTGTGGATATTTACTGTACTTCGCAATCACAGATTCTAGCCTACGTCTTGGAATATTACCCAAATAAGAATTTCACCATATATTGCCATCTGAACAAGTAAGTAACAAGTCTGCCACGTTTGTTCTGACCAACTGAGGAAAAATTACCATAAATCTCGCTACCAATGGTGATTAAATCTAAAGATCATTAGCTCATATCACATCAAACCGTGAAGCACATTTAAAACTGGAATATAATTTAATTTCATTCACGTGTTTCATAAACACATAATCCTGTATGGATTACAATCCACCATCAAAATTATGCATTTAATTATTCTGGCTGCTGTGAGAAAAGGCTATAAACGATCGGCCACCTGCAGGATCTTCACATGCGATAGCCTAGTAGCCGGGACAACTTCTTTATGTTTACAGACGTGAAGTAATGATGATAGTGCCATGCTCGAATTTCCCGCGAAAACCTACCCGTACCACTCAAATTAGAAAACATTATTATAAGCAAACGGTTGTGAATCGGGCTAAAGTAAGGCGATAGTTTTGATCACTGGCTGGTTATGTACTTGCTCAAATATTGATTTCGGATCATTTTTAACCAAAAAAAGTTACGAACTGCAGCTTTAAGTGTTTTGCTTTGCTCAAAAACATGTATGAAAACCACATCTTTAAAGTTTACAAACTGCATAATGTTTCAGTTTGTATTTGACCAGAGGTTGATGAAGCATTCAGACAGACAGTCGAAAAGTATGAAAATTATCAGAATTTTTTTTATTTCCAAACCCCCTCCAAAATTTCTGTGCTGCCAGGAATGAGTCAGACTCATATCATCTGGTTCTCTAGCATCATAAGGCCAATAAACTGGGCCGGTCTCTCACAGAGAGCTGCTCCCAGTACTCGCACTATGGGCAGACACTGAGACCCCACAGAACCCAAACTCATTTTAAACTTTTGCAACTTGACAAAATTAAACCATAAACATCCATTGCAAAAAAAGATCCACAACTGATGCTATGGTTAATACGATGATGTTTGCAGGATAATATCAAAGTAAAAGTTCATAAAAGCAAGAAGTGACACCTAAAATGCCCATTACATGTCAATATGACAATACTATAATACATACGATAATTAAGTAAAAAAAAAAAAGGAAAATGCTATCTGGAATTAGTATTGGCGGCAGAATTAATCCAGATCTACAGGAAATTGAAGAGGTAGATTAACTAACATCCAGTTCATGCTGATTTATAAATGCTGTTACAAGTTGTGCATAAATGACTAACCAAACTTCTACCAAGGATATTGCTATAGCCTAAATGAATATTAATATTTAAGAGATGAATTAAGGTGCAGGATGTTGTTCAGTAGGATGTGGGAACAGGAAGTGACCTCATATAATGCCGTACTGGGCCAGCTCATGTAACTCCAGGTGACTGAACGCTTCCCACGGACAGATTACATTAAAGTCTGTGAAAGAGAAAAATATGATTACACATAATGTCAAAGGACTTAAATATATAATGAGGAGTGTGTAATATTTATTACATATAATAATATTTTTGACTCAAAATTGTACATACCAGTTCCCAATCCCTCCATTCCAGGAATGTCTTCACCAAATCTAAGAATAACAACGTTAATATTAACACAGACACAACATGCAAATCCATAAAAGATCCAATAAATAAATAAAAATATTAAAAGTATTTGTACCCAATGATACCCTTTTTGGGCGGCTTGCTCTTGAACTGTCGTGTTGACCTCTGTTTGAACTTGGGCGGACCCTTTTTGGGACTGCCGGGCGCTGTGGCCCGTGTGGCTACCTTGCTGCTCGATTTAGGCTTGGAGGCATCCATATTCACAAGACGATAGCAACCAATAGCAAGTACTGCACGCTGAATCGATGATGATCTGTAAGAGATTGAGGGGATGAGACTGTTAATCTTGTGTTAATCTTTAGGTGAAATGCAATGCAATATATTGCATTGCATTTCCACTAAAAATTAATAAAGATAAATCAAAAACCTAAAGCATTTCAATTCTTAAATTATGATTCATTTTTAATGATGATCCAAATACAACTAAAAATAGTTTATAAAGTGAACCTATTAGGTTTCATCAGATGAATAGACTGTGTATTATTATAATAATTATATCCCAGTGTACAGACATGTGATGATAAAGGAGGTTCCTTTAATCCCCCTTAAATTGATCAAGCCCCCCTCTAATCTGCTGTCCAGAGGGTTTCTCAATTAATCTCATTAGATGAAGGTCAGTGCATAATCAGCAGAACCTGCTTGGAGTCAACCTCTTCCTTTTATCAGCTCAAACACACAAGAGTGCATTGCTTGTTTACTGTGCAGCAGTACAGGAAATGTGTTCAAAACATCACTTGCATAACAATAGTTTCTCTGTCGCAGTTGAGACAGTGGCCTGAAACAGATCTGGACACTTAAGACACTTAAAATATCTGAATGTCTTGCATTAGATGCAAAACATATCAAAGCTAGTGTCTAACTGCAGCATTTTTCCTCTTCACTAAATTTTCTTCATTTTTGCTTAATGTTTTTAATCAGCTGTTGTTTTGGTGATTTTTAGTAGATGAAGGAAGTCAATTCTCCTCAGGTTCACACAGATGTAGTTCATCACATTAAAGACCTGTTCACACCAAGAACGATAACTAAGACAACTATAACAATAACTATATTAGCGTCTACACCAACAGACGCTCTGTTTAGCTTCAAATGCTGTTTTAAATGCCTGTGCTCTTTTGGCTCTCAATGTTTTTATCGTTCATTAGCTGGAAAAAATCACTCTAAAAATAATTCCAGCAAATACGTTCCCCTGTGCTGTTATCGTTATATCTGTACCGTGAACTTGATATTCTTATAGAATTAGAAAGATTATTACAGCTTTATTGTTATAGCTATTGTCATTGCTGTGAACGGCCTTTAACTATGAACATGTTCCACTAACATCAAACAAACAAAAAGTGGAATAATATTTTTTGTCTTAATTTTGAACAATATATCCAGTTTTTTATCATTACACACCTGAAATTGTGATTTTTTTTTGCTTGATAGGTGTGCATGTTCTATCTTTCTTTCTTTCCATGCCATTCAATGACATTCAGACATTTTTAAGTGTCAAATTCTTTTTTGTGGTCATATATTAATATATGCAAACATATATAATTCATATTAAATCAGTATAACCATTAGGTATAACTGAAACTTTAAGCCTAACACAAATCATTACATATCATTTCCATCCTATGTGTTCTGTTCTTTCTAAACAGATGTACTCACCTGCTGGTCTTTTGTCTGTGTCTCTGTGTGTGTTGAGGTGGTCAGTATGAGGCTCTCTGTCAACACACACTCTCCCATCAGCTCTTATATAGTTCTGAGCATCATAAGATGATTATACCTGCACACGATGGTCCTTCCTCTTTCCAAAACAATCAAGCTGTCATCATCAGCCCCCTAAAAAAGTAACAGGATGCAACATCCACATATACAGATACATGTATTAGATTAATCCGGTTTGTTTTCCATAGTTCATGCAATATTAAATCAGACATACAGTGTTTGGCAAATTTTGATTAGGAATTTATATTTGTGTTTTTGATTTCGCTTCATTTATTTATACATTTTAATGTATTCACAGTTTCATAAGCCTAAGGCCATATCTGTTTCGCTTTTTTATGTTGATATTTTATTATATTTGTATATTAATTATAATGTTATAGGTTATTTGTATTACTTTACATATTGCAATTAAAAACTATATTTGATGTATTTGTTTTTAAAAGAAAGAACATTGTCTTGTGAATTGCAATACTGATAAATGTTGCACAAATTATCTTTCAAGCTATGGCATGACTTTAAAAGTGCCCGAGTTGAACTAAAACTTGGATAAAGCAAAATAATGGTCATAACAATGATTTTATTTATGCACATATAACCTTCAGCAGCTCACGTATTCACACACATGACACGTCCAGTGTGATGATCCTGATCTCCATGTTCTACTTATGCAAGTTTTTCTGAATCGCCCATCCAGATATCCCGTGCATGTGTGCTGGGAGTCTTTGCTTCAGTGTGATCAGCAGTCTGTCAGATAATCTCCACATCTCTCATTCATTCAGAGAATAGATTAACGTGCCCCTCCAACCTGACAGACATCCTGCCACTAACTCAATTGCAGTATCAGTTAACTCACACAACTAAAAATGGATGACTAAAATAGGAAACAAAAAAGCATATTTATAGAGTGTACGTCTAATAGAGACAGGTGCATAACAATGATTTTATTTATGCACATATAACCTTCAGCAGCTCACGTATTCACACACATGACACGTCCAGTGTGATGATCCTGATCTCCATGTTCTACTTATGCAAGTTTTTCTGAATCGCCCATCCAGATATCCCGTGCATGTGTGCTGGGAGTCTTTGCTTCAGTGTGATCAGCAGTCTGTCAGATAATCTCCACATCTCTCATTAATTCAGAGAATAGATTAACGTGCCCCTCCAACCTGACAGACATCCTGCCACTAACTCAATTGCAGTATCAGTTAACTCACACAACTAAAAATGGATGACTAAAATAGGAAACACATTTTTAAAGCATATTTATAGAGTGTACGTCTAATAGAGACAGGTGCTGGTTTCATTGCAAAGCAATAAAAAGTCAATAAAAGTCTGTTTACGGTAATAATCACACACCATACACCAGACAATTAATTTCATGAGCTACAATGTAAAATTCTATGTAACGATAAATCACAATTAGTGGTGTTTGCTAAGGCAGGAATCATTTACTACTGCTTGTACTTGAGCAATAAGAAACAAAGTTTAAAAATAGAAATATAATGCAGCAGGGACCAAAATATCAAAGAGACTTTTGACTTGCAGCAGTAACTTAAGTAACCATCTAGCAACCACTCAGCATACCATTAGACATTCACCGCAGGTACAGTCTAGTTTATTCTTCTGTTTTATCACCAGTTACATACATAAACAATGTACAAAAATAAAATAAAAATGGAAGCATATAGATAAGTAGTGCTGATAATAATGGGATTAATGTGACCCAGTTGAAGCTCAAATTGGCTGTCTGTGTTCTTGACTTGCAGGTGGGGCTTTAAAATCTTAATAAAATTTGTTATGTGCCATATTTTTAAGAATATTCAAAGGCTATAAGACACATATATTTGATGTTTATTTAAAAAATGGACTATTAGCTGGTTCAGGTGTGTTTAATTAGGGTTGGAGCTAAACTCTGCAGGACACCGGCCCTCCATGACTGAGTTTGGACAGCCCTGGACTATTAGTTTCGTTACAAATTTTTTTTGTTTTTACATTATGTTCAGAAATATCAGACCTCTATAAGCAATTGCTTCATTGTACATACAGACCATAAGCAAGGAGTCTTCTATGACTGGAGGCCAAATACACTGGATTCAAGCAAACCAGAGTTTACCAATGAAATAGTAAGTAGCAAGCGCCACCGTCTGGCGAGAAGAGAAATTTTGTGTATTTTAGCATCACATTTAGGTATTATTTAATACATGCATGATAAAAACATTTACATGCTCAAAGTAAACTTACTTAAGATCATAAACTGGCATTGCAAGTATTGCCTCGTAGATATTTATTACACAAATTCAGTTTATAATTGAATCACCTACACTGAATATTGTACATATTTCCTTTGCACCTGTTTATTAAATAACACTGCGTCAACTGTGATAAAATTGTAAAAAGTTGTGTCATTGTTGCATTGCAGCCTATTTTTGCATTATCATCAATTACAGATTTACACAGCCCTAACCTCAATAGTCAAAATTCAGTACTGCTTTCCATATGGGTCGGAGGGCTTTTCAGCCGATTGAGCATCCATCTGTCTCATCATCATAAAGATCATTTTCATCAAACTTGTCATTTTGCCTCCATCTTTACCTTCCTATGGTTCAGTTTAGTCATACATCACTTCTTTCCCATGTTCAGGCCCAATGAGTGATAAATTAGCTGAATCAGCATCCAGATTTACATTCACTGTTAAATAGAATGATAATAATGTATTGTTTTATAGCATCTTGCCAGGAATCCTGGTAACTTTACAACATTATAAACAAAAATGAAGATTCTGCATAGGGACGATTACTTTTTAATAAACTTAATGTTCAAAGCACATTACACTATGAACAATATAAATATCAAATTTTATCTACTATTTCAGTTTAGAAATTTGATTCAGTTCACACATGATCTACTATAAAGACTGATCTATTAAGCAAAAATAATGTTATGTAATACTAGACCTATACTACTGTAATACAATTATATTTGACCAAATAAACAATTATCATGTCATTTGGTATGTATTTTGATGCACTACAAATGTGCTTATCACTTATCATTAATGCAGCAATGTTTATTAATATGAAAGCTATTTTTGTATTAAAATAAGTAAATAATTCTCCACACCTATAGTAAACTATAAATTATGATGCAATCATAATGTCTATCCCCACATGAAACAGAACAGAGAGACACATATTGTACAGTATAATGGCAAAACACACTATATGTAATTCTAAAGAAAAAGCCTAAATTTAAGCCAATACCATGTAAAAAAAAATTGGTACCTTTTCTGTAACATGTGGTTTTTAATCTTTTAATCTTTAGTCTCTGAAATTGTATTGTTCTGATACAATTTTCACAAGCAAATTGTACATTTTCAAAACTCTTAGTACTAATCTCAAAACAGATCATCAAAAATATTTTTTTTCAAACATTTCAGTATATTTTCAATTGTGTTTGTACAATACATACAAGCACAAAGTATCATTTCCATGAAAACATTTTTTATCTAAGATTTGCATTCACAGTAACTGCCTTTTCATAATGTAATTACAGTAAGACTTTTGGTTTGCATCTGATAACCAGGTACAACTGTATGTGTGTATCTGGCATTCCCTACATTATGGGGACCACATTTCCCCACAAGGATACTAATACCAGCAAATTGTTTTGGTCCCCATGAGGAAAACAGCTTATAAATCATACAGAACAAAGTTTTTTTTTAATCTAAAATAGTTTAATGTGGGGGGTATAGGTTTAGGGGTAGGGTTAGGGGATAGAAAATACACTTTGTACAATATAAAAACCGTGTGTGTGAGTGTGTGTGTGAGAGCGTGTGTGTGAGTGAGTGAGTGAGTGTGAGTGAGTGTGTGTGTGTGTGTGTGTGTGTGTGTGTGTGAGTGAGTGTGTGAGAGAGTGTGTGAGAGAGTGTGTGTGAGAGTGTGTGAGAGAGTGAGTGTATGAGAGAGTGTGTGTGTGAGTGAGTGAGTGAGTGTGTGTGTGTGTGTGTGTGCGTGTGTGTGAGAGAGACTGAGTGTGTGTGTGTTGTGTGTGTGTGTGTGTGTGTGTGTGAGTGATTGAGTGAGTGAGTGTGAGAGAGACAGAGAGAGAGTGAGAGAGAGAGATTGTAAGTGTGAGTGTGTGAGAGAGAGAGTGTGAGTGTGAGTGTGTGTGTGTGTGTGAGAGAGAGAGAGAGAGAGAGAGAGAGAGAGAGAGAGAGAGAGAGAGATAGATTAGCAATTTGTGAGAGAGCATGTTGTCAGTTGTGGAAGTTAAGTAAGGTAAAGTGTGTTTCCTTTAACATCTTTATTACTGTAACATCTTTAATTCAGTAACAAGGGTCATTTTAAACATGTATGTTGCATTATCTGCTACTGAATGATCTGGCTGTTAAAGGGATAAAGGGCAGAGACTGACACGGAAGAGAAGAAATTGTTGAATAAAGTCGTTATTTTTGTTTTCTTTGCACACAAAAAGTATTCTCGTAGCTTCATAAAATTACGGTTGAACCACTGAAGTCACATGGACTATTTTAACAATGTCCTTACTACCTTTCTGTGCCTGGAACGTGGTAGTTCTGTTGCCGTCTACGCAGGGTCAGAAAGCTCTCAGATTTCATTAAAAATATCTTAATTTGTGTTCTGAAGATGAACGGAGGTCTTATGGGTTTGGAACGGCATGAGGGTGAGTTAATGACTTAATTAATGACAGAATTTTCATTTTCAAAATAAAACATGTTCAAACCCTGGTTACAGCCCTGCTTGTGGTGAATATATGTCTTACTTTTCTTTACAGTAACATTTACAAGTTTAAATGTAGTTTGTCGTGGCACATATAAACCATCATTTGTTTGATCATTTGAGATCTGAACCATTTGACTTAATTTATCCAGTGACAGTTTGCATTCTACCAACTCTTTAAGTATATAAATATAAAAACATGAATACTTTTTACTCACCCATATCTGTTTCTAAATGTGTGATCTCTAAAAACAGAAAAAAATGATTAAGTTATAAAGGATTCATAACAGAATTCATCAACAATGAGATAAGTTTTTTATATTATTCACCACTTAAAGACTTGCAAAAAACTAAATCAGTTTACATATCTCATAATAATCTATAATGAATTGTATTCATATATGAATTCAAATATGCGCTGTGTATTAATTAATTGTTTTGCAATGAATTTAATTCAAATGAAATTAATAATTTAATATGGCTATATAAAACAAATTCACCTTTTGGTATCTTCTGACCCTGCAAAAGTTCACCAAGTTCTAAAAAAAAAAAAAATCTAAAATAAAGACAAGAGGAAAAATCATATAATTTTTTTATAACTGCAAATATTAAATATAAATTATTATCATTAGATGTGTTTTTAGAATGTATTATGTTATTAAAGTTAAACCCAAAAGGGAAGAGAAAAGAAAACAACAAAAGATCAAATATTAAAGAAAGCTCAAAGTCTGATGCTGGAGAAAAGTCAAGCTCAACCGGGGCACACCACACCGGAGGACAGAGATCCTTTAATCAGTCAACTCATCATAGGTAATCCACCGCACCTGCCGCTTGTCTCCACCCTACAAACAGACAAAAGAAAAACACACAACACACACACCACCAGAACCTAGAACGCCACCTAGAGGCGAACAGATCCCGTTTAGGGAACAATTAACATCACATTTAAATCTGGTAACTAATGAATCATATATATTCACGAGCATACAATGTAAACATGCATTTATTACATGCGTCTAAACTGCTATAAAATCAAATCTATCTCGTTTTATTTATAAATAAATAGAAAGTGTGTTAATTGTTTTGCAGACCAAAGCAGAGTTCATTAATAATGAAGTAAGGGATAATCCACAGCTAAATGTACAGATGATATTAAATGATTCAGTTCAACCGCAATGACTCACTTACTAACAGTGGCTTTCTGCCACTTACTGGCGGTTTTAATTGTTTTAATTTTCCATTTTTAAAGTATCTTTTCATTTTTTTAAACAATTTCAAATATATCAGTATTCAACATTTCATGTTTAAAATATCAAAACATTATTTATGCATTTGTAACTGCAGGTTAAAGCATTCCATGTCCCTCTAGCTGCATTGACATGTGTAAATACATCTAAATGTAGATGCCATACGCAGCCATATCCCCCTGCAGCCCAAGACTGGTTGCCCACTGAAGCTAAGCAGGGTTGAGCCTGGTCAGTACCTGGATGGGAGACCTCCTGGTAAAAGCTAGGTTGCTGCTAGAAGCAATAGTATCCAGCTGCAGCACCAGCAGTTTCAGAACCACAGAACCGGAAGTGAGGGGCGTAGCTTACTTTTTTTTTTTTAACAGAGTAGCGCCACCTTACGGTTTTTAAAGGGTAATTTGCTTTTAGTACACAAGATACGTCATACTTTATGTATGCATTTTATAATGACATAAAGCATTTTAGAAACATTAACCTTGTGTAATTTAGTTGTAGACCTATACAGTTATTCGTTTCATTGTATTATGCGAGTAATTTCCTGTTTGTGATATTAAAAATAATGTTTGAAACTTCTAGGCATTTTATATGAAATATACTTTAATCACAAGATTCAAAATACATGTTTACTCCAAAGTCAAGAGGTCTGTGTGGGTCCTAACGCCCCAGTGTAGTGACGGGGACACTATACTGTCAAAATGCACCGTCTTTCGGATGAGACGTTAAACTGAGGTCCTGACTCTCAGCGGTCATTAAAAATCCCAGGATGTCCTTCGAAAAAGAGTAGGG